TCCTGTCTGGTCTGGCTGGTCCTGTCTGGTCTGGCTGGTCCTGTCTGGCCTGTTTGGTTTGGCTGGCCCTGTTTGGCCTAACTAACCCTGTCTGGCCTGGTTGGCCTTGTCTGGCCTAACTAACCCTGTCTGGCCTGGCTGGCCCTGGCTGGCCTGGTTGGCCTTGTCTGGCCTGGCTGGCCCTGTCTGGCCTAACTAACCCTGTCTGGCCTGGCTGGTCTGGTTGGCCTAGTTAACCCTGTCTGGCCTGGCTGGCCTGGCTGGTCTTATTAAAGGCGCACGGGCCCCCCCCCCTCCCTAGGGGTTTGGGGTTGGGGTAGACGAGCGCCGGAATCCGCCAAGGTCTTGGTCGACGAGCGCAGGACAGACGTTCGGCGAAAAACAGGGCCCCACAAGAAAAGCCCCCCGCAAAAGAGGCTCGACTTACGCCGAAAGTCGAAGCGAATGCCTGCTAGGGTTTACTAAGAGAGATCACTACGTAAACACTTAGGATAAATACTTTAATGAAAAGTTTAGTTCTTAAATTAAATAAAAGAATATCGATAAAGAAGGAGAAAGAAGACAAGAAGCGTAAGGTTGGGTAAACAACCCCCTTTTCTAGTCCCACTCGTGGACTTCTAATCAGGGGTCCGGCTCCCCAGCCACCGCACCGCCACATGCCCCGGCCCACAGATGTCTGATCAGAAGTCCGGGAGTCTGGCCACTGGCTTACGCACCGTTTAGCCATCCTCGGGCCCTTGGCCCGTTACATAACGAGGGTTATACATCGGCGCCGGTTATTTTCCCGTCTAGTTCCTAACTAGTCTCGAGGTAGGACTAAGTCCCGCGCTTCTTACCCGAGAGTCGGTAACACAAATTAACACTTTTAGTTAATAAGTATCGGACGGTAGCGTTCTGAGCACCCCATATTGGTACATATAGCATAAACTACTCTTACCGTCTTGGCTACCCCCTGCGGAGCCGGACTTATCAGCCATCACCTTTTTGGGCCTCTGCCGACTCCTGATTTGCTCCGTTTCCAGGCGGAGTCGGTGGTTCTGACCGCTCGTCCGCCATTAGAAATGGCTCGCCTCCATCCGCATACACGGACCTCAATGCCTATTACACTTCTCTAAAGCATCTGGCCTAAATGGCCCGGAATAAAGTGTCGTTTGCTTCTATATCACGTTACTGTCTTCTTTTATCATATATATGTTAACACCCGACCCTCTATGCTTGAGGTTAGGAAAACTCGAGTATGGACCTCGAGTATGTAAGTTACAACAACCATGAAGTCTCTAGCAGCTTTCGCCTTCATCGCAGTGAACGGAGCGCGCGGGGGTGCACTGCCGGACTGTACCAACGCGCCGTTCAGTTCAAATAAGATATGCGACACCAATGCGACTCCTCGCGATCGAGCTGCTGCGCTCGTGGAGGCGATGCAGACAAACGAAAAACTGGCCAACATTGTCAGGTAAGACATCGCAGCTATACTCTAGCCCCAAGCACTCGTCACTGTATGCCTACTGAGGTTACGTCTGTTGTTAGCAAGTCGCCGGGGGTTTCTCGTATTGGGCTGCCGTCGTACAATTGGTGGAGTGAGGCGCTCCATGGAGTGGCGTCCGCTCCGGGCGTGTCGTTTGCCGCGCCGTTTAACGTCTCTACTTCGTTCCCAATGCCCATTCTGATGTCGGCCGCCTTCGACGATGACCTGATAGAAAGCGTCGGCACAATTATTGGGACAGAAGCGAGAGCATTCGGCAACAACGATCGGTCGGGGATGGATTATTGGACACCCGACGTGAATCCCTTCCGCGACCCGCGTTGGGGACGTGGCTCTGAGACGCCGGGTGAAGACACGCTGCGCATCAAAGGCTATACAAAGCACCTGCTGCGAGGCCTCGAGGGGACCAAGCCACAGCGGCGCATCATTGCCACCTGCAAGCACTTTGCCGGCTACGACTTGGAGTCTTGGGGCGGCGTGACCCGGCACAGCTTCAACGCAAAGATTACTGCGCAAGACCTAGCCGAGTACTACATGCAGCCCTTCCAGCAGTGTGCCCGTGACTCCAATGTCGGATCAATTATGTGCTCGTACAACAGCATCAATGGTGTGCCTGCATGTGCTAACAGTTATCTCCTCGAAACAATACTCCGGGACCACTGGAATTGGACACAGAGCAATAACTACATCACGAGCGATTGCGAGGCCGTGGCCGACGTCTCTTCCGCTCACCACTACTCTAAGAGCAATGCAGCCGGGACAGCCGCATGCTTTAACAACGGCATGGACAACAGTTGTGAATATTCGGGTTCGTCAGACATTCCCGGGGCTTACAGCAGCAAGGCACTGAACGAGAGCACTGTCGACAAAGCCCTGGTTCGCCTCTACGAGGGACTTGTAAGGGTGGGCTACTTTGATGGGGCCGCTGCCGATTACGCCTCCCTGGGATTGGCTGATGTCAATACGGCGGAGGCCCAAAAGCTGGCTCTCCAATCAGCCACCGACGGCATCGTTATGTTGAAGAATGATGGAACTCTTCCACTCCCTCTTCAGGAGGGTTCCAAATTAGCCATGATCGGGTTCTGGGCAGACCAGGGAAGCAAGCTACAGGGAATTTACAGCGGCAAGGCACCATATCTTCGCACGCCTGCTTCTGCCGCCAGGAGCGCGAGATACAACATCACCGTAGCTACGGGGCCCATCCTAGAGTCGAGCACGGCTAGAGACACGTGGACTACCAACGCTCTTGCTGCGGCCAATGCCTCGGACTATATTCTTTACTTTGGCGGGCTCGACACGTCGGCGGCCGCTGAAGGTTCGGACCGTACCTCGATCGCCTGGCCGACAGCGCAAGTCGAGCTGATCAAGAAGCTGGCGACCGTCGGCAAACCCCTAGTAGTGATTCAGCTCGGTGACCAGGTCGACAACACCCCGCTCCTAGGACTGCAGGGACTCAACTCAATTCTCTGGGCGAGCTGGCCGGGGCAGGACGGCGGCCCAGCCGTCATGTCCATCATCAGCGGCGCCAAGGCGCCGGCAGGTCGCCTTCCTGTTACGCAGTACCCGGCCACCTACACCACACTCCCCATGACAGACATGAACCTGCGCCCGGTCGGTACAAACCCGGGCCGCACGTATAGGTGGTACCCGACGCCTGTGCAGGCCTTCGGTACAGGCCTGCATTACACGACCTTCCAGGCGGCCTTTGCGAATCTAACAGCAAGTTTGTCGATCTCAGACCTCCTGAACACCTGCGATAAAGATAATAAGTATCCAGACACGTGTGCGCTGCCACCACTGGGGGTGGCCGTGACCAACGCCGGCAACCATACATCGGATTACGTCGTGCTCGTTTTTGTCGCTAGCACGGCAGGGCCTAAGCCATACCCGATCAAGACGCTCGTGGCTTACCAAAGGCTTCGCGACATCAACGCAGGGCAGAAGGCCAGCGCCAACTTGTTGTGGACGCTGGGAAGCCTGGCCCGGCATGACGAGCAGGGGAATACAGTTTTGTATCCTGGCACATACACTCTAATACTAGACCAGCCGGGTCTGGCGAACGCGACGTTAACTCTTACAGGGAATGCTACAGTTTTGGACAAGTGGCCGGCTGCACCTAGTGTGAACTGACCATCTTCTAAGCATAGAGAGTGAGTCTGCTAGTTGATCAGGCTAGGGAGTTTTGTGCTCTATGGAGACACGGTATACCGTATGAAGGGAAGTGACAACTGAGACAAAGTGTAAAAAATAAAGCAGACGGGATTCGTGGGTTGATTAGATAAATTGACTTGGGTTACAGAACTCTACTACGCGCCTATGTTAACACGCACGGTCTTCTTTCTGCGGAAGGCATCTTTAGGTTGTGGTTTTGTAGCTAGCTGTACCACCAGAAGTTTATACCAACAAATCGCTCCAACATGTTCTTTATGCGCTTCTACTCTTTCTTACCCGCGAAGAAGCAGGTCACGGCGTGGTAGACCCCTGTTGAACCCGTGGCAATAGCGTGCCGACCATCGTAGATGGGGAAGACGACAACGGCAAAGAATGCAAAAAACTGCCACATGATAGCCACCGTAGTCCATGATGTAAAGAATGTCTTTGAGAAAACATAATCTCTGTAGAGAGGCATAGGCCAGAGAATGAAAGTTAGAAGCACCACAAAGATGAAGAATATCCAGGCAATGCGAAGCCAGCGGTAAAGTTCGGCTAGAACTTCAGGGCCAAAGGGGTGCTCAATATCATCCAGTGGGATTGAGGATTTAGGGATCTGTTGCACAGTCTCCCGAGCCGGGGCATTGTTCGTCGCTACAGTGCCCTTTTCGTCGGCAGAGCCAGGGATCACAACAGGTGTTGCACATCCGCTAGAATCGATGTTCTCGCCGCTTTTGACACTCTCGCCTGTCTCGCCGGTGCTCTCATCTCCACTGCCAGCTGCCAGCTCGTTGTGCTCTTTGATCTCAATACGCAGAAACTCGCGCCAGTCAAAAACACTCGGCTTCCACCAAAGAGACAATACCACGGAGTACAGTAAAGGCGAGAGGAAAGAGCCGCAAGCGCCAAAGAGCGCTGGTAGATTGCCTTCCGTCGTCGCCATGTTGATCGCACCGTAATAACTGTAGGCAGTGCCAAGCCAGATACCGAGACCAGTGAGAAATCCTAGAATGGGAGCGACGATGGCAGCCGTCTTTGTTTGCCGTTTCCAGCCCAAGGTCAGAGCCAGGGGAATAATGCCTGGACAGGCAATGACAGGCCGGAAATAGTTGAGCCAGGTCATGTCAGCGCCACCATAGTTGAGAGCGATGGCAATGCCCGTAATAAAGCAGGCATGGAAGACGACAGCTAGATGACTAACACGCACAAGCCGGCGGTCAGAGGCATGGGGATTGATGTACGTCTTGTACAAATCAAATGACAAGATACTCGACACCGCAATCATAGAACTGGAGACCGTACTGGTGAGGGCCATGAAGAGCAGAACGAAAAACGCCACGATGCCAGAAGGCCCAATGAGAGCCTTTACCGTGTAGGGCATGACGAAACCAGCGTTAACTTCCGCAAGAGTCAATGCGTCTGGGTAGGTCGGGAAGATGGGTGTGCTGTGAATAACGCGCGCCGCTAGGCCAATGACGGTGCCCAGCCCCCATGGAATTCCAAAAATAGCGATGGCGGCCAGGTTGTAGCCCGGCACGGTAGCCTTGACTTCGGTTGCAAAAGACTTTTGCCAAAAGGCTGTGTCCATGATGACAAGTGCAAGATTGCCAAATTTGAGAATGAGACCCCAGATAATGGCGTCCTGCGACTTCATTGTCAACAACGACCCTTCGTAGTTGGTCGGAATGTAATTGTCGGCGGCAACAGCTTGCACCTTGTCATAAAGACCATGCAGACCACCGACAGCATCATGTGTCAAAACTTTGAGGGTGAAGTAGATGATTAGAACCAACGCCACGGCCGTATGTAGGAAGTCTGTCAGGAATGTTGCTTTGAGACCGCCTACTGCCGTGTACAACACGACGCCTAGCGGGATCAACACCGTGGCTGCCGCAAAGTTCATGCCTGAGATGCCGAAGATGAGCTGCGACCCCGTAAGGATCATCGACGCACAGCCAAACACGTTATTGACCAAGTTCATGACCATGAACACCAAGTGGCCGGTCTTGCCGTAACGCATGCGTATAATTTCCAACGATGTGTGGGCGTAGGGCACCCGTATCTTGGCCAGCACACCGAGGGCAGCCATAAGTGCAATCTGGAAACAGAGGCCACAAGCCCACCAGTACGGAAGGGCAAGACCATAACGGTAGCACATGGCTGCACAGAGCACCGTCTCGTTGATCCACATCCATGACGAGAACACGGCCGACGCCGTTAGGCCCGTGCCAACGGACCGGTTGGCCACTAGGAACATTTCGGATGTGTCGTTGTCTTCCGAGAGATAGGCGCGCTGCACCTTGACGGCCAGTAAAATGACGATACAAAACAGTACGCCGAGGCCGATCAGCAAGCCATAGCCGGTGCGTTGAGACACCAGCGTCAGACCATGCACGTTCGCAGCCAGGTCGGTGCGAGAGGCTATGGCCTGGACGGCAGATTGCACTGCGTCCATGTCGAGAACGTTGGGTGACTTGTAAAGAAAGGTAAAAACAATGTAGAGTATCGTGAATTGATATGAGGTAACGGCGGCCGGCAGTTTCAGACTGCCAATGCTTGCCGAGAGCTGTCAAGACCGGGGCGAACGTCCTGATGATTATGGTCGTTGAAAGGGCATACTCCTTTAATGAAACAAGAACGGATTCCGGTATTTTATAACAATGATTTCAAAGAATCTTGTCGAACTGGGTTATTTCTGTCGTATTATGTCAGTGACTCTTGTTGCTATTCTTCTTTCTATGGTGATTTTATACTTTGCACATCTTTTCATTTATTTATCTGGCAATTCTATGGGTGTTCTGCCAATTCGCTTTGACGTCTTTTTGTGTTTTGCCTCTTCTCTCTTGATCTTCATAATCACGACAGGCGAAGATCGGTGACGTGCTATTGCACGTACTGATTGCATTTTCCTCGTGTGGGACTTTTGCGATTCTGGAGCAGCCGTACCGGGTTACAAAGCTGCGTTGTGGACCATACAGGTAAGGTTCTGCACTGTTGTTTTGAGCAGAAAAAATTCACGGCATACGACATACGACTTACGAGATACGACGTAAAATATCAAGATTTAGGTTTCAGCGAGCAACTGCCGGTACGGGTCCACTTAAGATAGTTGTTTGACGAGAGCAGTCGATCTAAGTCCTTCGGTACGGAATACACCACCGGACGATCTTAATGATGCCACCATGCTTGAAATCACGAAATGCGTGGACGTACCATATTAGTGGGTACGAGTGAAGACGCCACAAAATAGAACAGATAAACGATCGGACATGAATATTCGCTTTATAATGATTCACATCTCTTATTTAACACATTTAATTTCGTCGAATATAAGAACATAGGGCGAATTATGTTTGTTATTAAACTAATAATTAAATACCTAAAACAAACTCATATATAGTTCTTTCATATAAGCATAAAAAATCATACGATTTACGGAAGATGCGGAAGTCGGGTAAATATGATTTTAAATGGCACATTGAGACCGGTTTCGGCGCGTCGTCAACGTGGACATCATGGAAGGCGGCATGATGTGTTGTGTATCCATTATGTGTCGCGCTTGTATTATAATTTAATATGTAATTGCCTTTACATAAAGATAAGTCCTCTAATATACCCGTATAATATTTAAAGTTTCTTCTTCCAATGACAACACTCACAGCCAGGCACAGACTTGCATAACCAGGGGTTCATCCTGAATGCACTCTCAAAAGCTGGACAATTAAGCCCGCCACCACGAGATCTTGCACACGCCCAACACACCCCTGTACTAACCCAATTCCCATCCAACAGCTCTTGGCGGATGATCTCCGTGGCAGTATCCGCGCCCAGTCCAAATCTGACGTCGTCTGTAAGTCAATATGTGAGACTGGTCCGTATTAAAGCCAGAAAAGGTGCATTGGTAACGCTCATTCTGGGAACAGCACCGATACAACCACTCAAGCATAGCCTTGAGCCAGCGATGGTCATGTCATCTCAAGTCACATCAGCAGCCAGACTGACAAACTGGTTGGAATGTGCTGCACAATGCCAAAGCTACCAAGAAAGGCAATGAGGCACTGCTGGTCGTTGTCTAGTTACCGTTACCGGGAGATCAGACGAATTGAAATTGAGACTCGAGCTAAGGCTCAAGAGAATCGTTACCAGCTTGCATCACTCATACCGTATAATGAAGGCGCCGGTCATGAGACCACCAACTGAATAACCGGCCATGGAATGTATCACATCGGTGCTAGCCTGGGTTGGAGAAGTATTGTGCGTGACCTGACAGCAAGGGAATGACGTATATTAAGTTGAGTGCGATATGCTCTGAAATAATAGCATGAGAAGGACTGTTGCGATGACGTAGTGTCGCAACAGGTTTGGAAATATGGGTTCCTGTGCCCTGGAACACTCTACCCACACGAAACCAACAGCCATTTGGTGTGACAGAATAAGGTACACCGCAAACAGTGGGCATGTCTATCCCACTTAACCGCTACGTCCCCCCTCCCCGTCTCCCGCCCCTGCAGCTCGACTGCCCGACGGATCAACTGCCTGCACAACATAGCTGCGGTTACGATTGAGTACTGGGGACTGGCTATCCCGGAGATCACTACGGCGATACCAATTTGAATGGTGACCATGGCACAGCCGCTCACACAGCAACTAACGACACGTAAAAGGGCCTGCGTACCATTAGCAATACGTACAAGGTATACTAAGCCGTTGTGTGCACCAACGTCATGGAGCTACGCAACCTAGTCGACGATCTCTTTGAGGCGCCCAGCCCTACGAGGAATGGAAGATGGGTACCCAACGGCGGTGTCCTTTCCATATGGGCGACCGCATCGGAAAGGCAACGCTCGGAATCATTGTTCAGATGCATATTAGATCCTGGGCTATGGACAACTATGACGAGGTTGTGAAGTCGATGTGTACCGAAGTAGTTGACCAGTGTCCGCTTTTCGAAGACTACACAACACAGTCGTCGTTTATGA